CTTGCTGTTGTTGGTATGGCTGCCCCCCATGGACACTGCAGGATAGCTCTCCACTGTGGGCTCACTGCCCCCAGTGGCAACTCTTAGATCACATCCCTTCGAACAGCAGATCCTCCCTCTTCATGTTATGGAAAGCTTTCCTTTTCCCAGGCTTCCGGTTGTCCTGGCACAATCAAATCCCGACCTTGCTAGGAGAAGAGGAAGCTGCCTACTGAATTTGGTGGCCCCAGCTCTTACTGTTTAGGAACAAATGATCTTGCAGATAGACACACTCTAAAGTATACAGGCAGTCCCTGGGTTACATGGATCCGACTTACATCGGATCCCTACTTACAAACGGGGTGAGGCAACCCCGCCCTAGCTGCTTCCCCCAAGCAGACAAGGGAGACACGAAGCTAGCGGGGGCCCCCCCCCCCGGCAGACCAGGGAGACGTGGAGCAGCTTTTCTCGCCCCGGAGGACGGGGGCGGCGGGACTGCAGCGCATCTGGGCGTCCCGCCACTCCAGTCCTCCGGGGCGAGAAAAGCCCCGTTCGTAACTGCGGATCCGCCATAAGTCGGATCCGCGTAACTCGGGGACTGCCTGTACATGAATAATGTAGCAGAAGTCAACATACTTAGGTCTGTTTAAGTTAACAGCTGATGGTCTCCTGTTGACTCTGCTGACTCTCCTGAAGTACTGGAGTCAACAGGAGAGCATTTGGCGGTTGATTTATTGCATCTATACTAGAAGTGATAAACAACCCCCACCGGCCTGACTGCTGTCTGTGGAACCAACCTTTAGTAAAGACATGCTTTGTTGTGGGGAAAAGGTTCTCATTCACAGGCTGGAAGAACTAGGAAGCTACGCTATCTTTCCTTAGCCGCTTAGGGGAAAATTCACATGGAGCACTGAGAAATGATCATGTTACAATAATAATAATTTTGACCCCTGTATTGTAAAAGCCCCACAGCAAACTGGAACTCAGGACAGACTCATGAGACTCAGGACTGTTGTGAGATGTGTGAGAGTGCTTATCTATCTCCTTCATGGTACCATATATTAAACCAAATCCCTAATTATATACTTCAGTTTCCTTCTGGACCAGCTAAATAGGAGAATGATTTGCAAAAATGTTACTTATTGCTGTATCAACAAAATTGGGCAATATCTCCAGTTAGGGCCAGATCCACAGCCGGTGAAGTAAATGAAAAGACTCCCGTTGACTTCAATGGACTTTGAGCCTAGTCCTTAATGTGCAAATTTCCCTGCAAGTGAACTGGACAAAATCAAACAAGGCCCTGGACACAGCTTGGCTGGCACAAAATTCCGCAGAAGAAAACCTTCCATTCACTCCAGAGTTTCCCCCTTCCTTGTCTTGACACTTACTTAATAGGTTCTGTTGGGTCAATTCGCTTGGCTTTTTGTTCTGGGGAAAGCTGCTCCCATTTGAAATGTAAACTCCAGTCAAACCCTAAAAAACCAAGTAGAGAAAGACCATTGTGAGATTAGAGATGGACATAAACAAGGAAACTACCAATCCCATCCCCTGGCCAGCACAGAATTGCTTCTTCTTTTCTAGTTACAAATGACCCAAATAATAGGGCCACAGCCTGTTCTCTTAGGAGACAATTTCAGTGTCTAACACATGTAAATATTACAAACAAAAAACTACAAGAAAGGAGCGTTTCAGTTGCAATATCCAGAACACAAAAGCCAGGAAATGTCCAAACAAAGGTTATCTGTACAGCCTTAATTCAACATTCTTATGCATATGCATTAGGATGCAGTCTTTAACTACATAAGCAAACACTTATTTTCACAGGAACCCTGCCCCATTCAGTGCACAGAATGGACAGTTGATGATCAGCAGTTTAATATTTCTTGTTACCAGTGTCATTCAACATGTGAGCCCCTGGCCTTATTAATTTCCTTTTTTATGGTGCTCATCACTGTAATAGCTGAGGGTTTTACAAGCATTAGTGAATTTACCTTCACAGCACTCACATAGCATGATGGGGTGATACTATACTTATTTTACATATGGAAAACGGAGGCAGGGAGAAAGTAAGGTACAAAGCATATGTTAATTCGGGGTGCCCAGTTTGAGATACGTTGGACCTGATTTTTCAAAGTATTTAGCGTTACACAGAATTTTGAATGTTCAAAGCCCAGCTTCTATTGACTTCAATTGCATTTGTGAGTGCTCAACACATCTGCATATCAAGACAGGCCTCCCATATTGAGGCACACACAAGTAGTGACCATCTCTGAAAAGTCTGTTGTAAGTGCGTGGTGCAGCATCACACAGGCATGGAACCCAGATCACCACACAGCATTCAACTGTCTAAACCCTGAGACCCCACCTCCTTCTCTTTCTGCAGCCCCCTGCCTCATTCACCATCCATCCACCTTTCAATTCTGCAACAAATGAAATAGGGGCCTTCCAACAAAACCCGCTCTGATGCACAGCACAGGTTCATTCTCTAGGTATGAAGGAAATGTTGTGTGTTCTGGGGCTCCTAGACAGAGAGGTGCAAAGCACAAAGGGGCACAGGGACTGGACTCTCAGGCTATGTCTAGACTGCAGGCTTCTTTCGGAAGAAGCTTTTCTGGAAGAGATATTCTGAAAAAACTTCTTCCGAAAGAGAGCATCCTCACTGCAAAAGCGCATTGAAAAAGCGATCTACTTTTTCAACAGATAGCGTGTTGAAACAGCTATCTCTTTTTCAACAGCTATCTCACATGTAAGCTGTGATTACTATGGGCAGAATGGTCACCAGGGGACCTGTGCTTTTTTCTCTTTTCTCTTCTTGCAAAAGAACTCCCTCTTCCCCGTCCAAACACACCGTTTTGCAAAAGATCTCTTTTTCCTCGTAGAAAGAGGTTTACAATGTTGGAAAAACCCCTCTATTCTTTCAATTTTCTTTCGAAAGAATGCAATTGCAGTGTGGACATAATTGACAATTTTGGGAAAAATGCTGTTTAAAAAAAAAAAAGCCTCTATAGTGTAGACATACCCTCAGAGAGCCAGCAAGTTTGCAGTGAGATTAAAATTAGAGGCTGCTTGATCTGCTAGGCCCCACTCTTGAGAAGGGGGACTCAAAGATCGTAGCAAAGAGGCAATGATCCAAGCCTGTTGGATCTTGAAAAATGGCTTTGGCTCTGTTTATGGAACTGTATAAATTGCCATACCAGAATACACTCAGGGTTCATCTGGCCCAATTACTCCTTTCTGCAGAGATTATAGAGACTGGTCTTCAGTATGGGCCATGTTTCCTCCAGTACAAACAAGTTAATCTGTCATTAGTCTCATCATAAGTTATATTTGTTAAAAGCACCAGAGCCTGCCCAGCTGGCATTTTCTAGAGAAATCTAAGGATATGAGTAAAAGACTCCAAGGGTGCATGCAACACAAAAACAAAGAGAGGAGCCATTCTCCCTTAGCATAATGAAAGAACAGCCTTCTCCAAGGAGGGAAGAGACATCTGGCCATTTAGCACAGGAAAGTCATATTTCAGGGCATGGTTCTTCACTGCATCACTTTGGTTTTACACTGGCATATAGCTGGAGAGACACCGTGGGGAAATCAGGCAACCAGAAATGTGCAAAGCTCAGAAGGGGACTTCAGCTAATAAACCAAAGTATAGCTGTGGAGATATGCATGGCAATACAATCCCTCCATGTCCCTCCTCTTCAATGACCCCTCTGCTGCTGGGGGTTAGCTTAGATGTGATACTTCTCTCCAGCACGGCCACTGTCCCCTCAAAAGGAACTCCAGTCCCTCAAGTCAGTGCTCTGAAGGGCCGTTCTAGCCCTGCAAGCTGACAGAGGAGGAAACTGGATATTTTTAGCATGCAGTGCACAAAATAGTTGTGTGCACAGAGCATTATAAATAATCCTTACAGTAGGGAGCTCCGAGTCAGTGCCTCCTTCACACTGAGTCAGCCGCTTTCCTCTGCCAGCATCTGCTGAGCATAGGATCTGACATATCAGTATCACCTGACAGGGAGTGAGCACAACACGACACACTCACCACCTCGCAGGTCCGAGGAAGCGGCCACGTAGGCAAAGGTGTCCAAGTTGATGATGTCAATAACTGGACTGACCACGCGGGTTGGATCCTGAAAACAAGACACAAAACAACCCGTGACTTTTGGCCTGGTGTTGCTTCTCTTCAGAAGCCACCTCAGGAGCCGAGAAAACCTGTGTGATGGACAAAGAGGCGAGGAAGTTGGTTTGCCTCTGAAGTCCTCTACTGATTCACAGGACAAACAAGTTAAGGGAAGGGCCAAATTCTTAGTTATGCAGAATGGCTGGAATTCCTGGTGTCCAGATCACAGAGGCAACTCTCCTTCTTGGGGGGAGGGATAGCTCAATGGTTTGAACACTAGCCTGCTAAACCCACAGTTGTGAGTTCAATCTTTGTGGAGGGGATTTGGGGCAAAAATTCATCAGGGATGGTCCTGCTGAGAAGGCAGGGGACTGGACTCAATGACCCTTCAAGGTCCCTTCCAGTTCTAGGAGATAGGCAATCTCCATAAGAAAATTCTTATCAGACAAGCTAAGTGCTGCATGGAAGCATCTGCTTAGACACTTTCTTCCCTGGAGGATCAGGTTGAGGGTACACTGCCAGGGTAGCATGTGGGGGAAACACTTATACTTCTCCTATTATGAAAAGAAGACAAACTCCAAGGATGTCAAGCCAGCCTCTTTCACTAACTCAAAATTTTCTCATAAAGAAACCCATACTGCACAAGCTGTGGGTGGGTTTTATATTAAGCTTGGCTCAAGAATCTCTGGCTGAGTACAAAGCTCCAACTTTTTTATACAGATTCCTCAATTTATTCCCCACCACCACCACCTTCTTTCAAATCTTTTTATTGCATTTCAAATGTTAAGCCACAAACAAGCAGCATAAAAAATGGACAAAACAAAGCCAGTCAGCCAGTTAAGAACGTATAGAAAAAATACTACAGAACACACATCTGCAAAATTATGCCATTCTGCACTGGTTTCACCCAAGGAGGGAAAGGGGTTAAAAAAAAGAATGAAATGATGTTAAATATTTGATACTAGTGATTTAATTACCAGCTTGTTATGGGGGAAAAGATTATACAAACAGTTAGGGACAAAAATATCTACAGGAGGATGAGATTTTGACAGCTTTGACTGGTTTCTTATCTTCTTTTTTCTTTTCAAAAATCCCAAACTCCAATTATAGCTAAAACTTCAAGCTTTTCCCCTCACCAGATCAAATCGCTTTTCACAGACATGCAGACGAATGTGTCGTCGCACATCCAGGCTTGCTGCCTCACTCTGGTGACATTTTTTGTTTTATTAATCAGTCCTAACAAAGAAGAGCCATGTTCTGGTACACCTACAGGACAAAGGAGCTGAGCACTGAAAGCTGAGCTGTTCAGCCATATTGGGGCCTCGGATTTTCTAAACTGGAATGATAATTCTTGGCATTCCTCTGACATTGTCTAGCTGAGAATCTCAAAGCACTTGTGTGGTTATGGATGAACTGAGCATCATAACCACCTGTGTCAAGTCAACAAGCATTGTTATTCCCATATGGTAGATGGAGAAACTGAGGCACAAGAAGTTAAAGAGGGTGACACTTTGTGCCTCAAAGTAGCACTCTGGAACCCCCATATTCACCACAATTGAATAATTATATGTTTTGTACAAAGTATACCTGACGAGGTACCATTCTGAAGGTCTTGATTTATTGAACATTAAGATCCTGTTGAATTGTACATACTCTCATTGGCCGTGATGCTTTGAACTATTGCTGAACATGTTACCAAAATATGCTGACAGCTTTGGAGATATCCACAGCCAGCTTTTCATTTGCAACAAAGGAGAGCCCAGATAGTATTAATGGCCCATGGAGAACAATCAACTGTCCTGCAGATTTCTCAGAAAAGGTAGAAGAGGCTGCCTGACCCCACCTCTCAGCAAGGATCTCACCAGAAGCTGGAAGAAGGCATAAAAAGAGAGGCAGTGACATCATCACTTGGGAAACCTCCTGGAAAGAAAAGACTTGGAGTTAGGGAGACTGGACCCAAACTGGAAGGCCCAGTTTATGTATGGAGGAACTGTAAGCAGGTGTACCAGCTGTTTGGGTGGGGATGTTTGATTAGGGTTGCCAGGTGTCTGGTATTGATCCGGACAGTCCGGTATTTTTGCCTCCTGTCTGGTAAAATAATTCAGAAAATACCAGACACCTAAAATGTCTGGTATTTTCTGATTTTTTTCCCAGCCAGGAGGCAAAAATCCTGGGTGCTTACTGGGTTCCACAGGGGGGCTGCTTGGGCTGGAGCAGGGAGACAAGGTGGCGGGTGGCCACCAGCAGCCTGTTAGGGCCAAAAAGCCTCAAAAGCATTTCTTAGAGGGTCCACACTTTGTTTTTTAATTTTGTTTTGTTTTGTTTTTTTGTTGCTTAACAACTCTCAGGGGCCTTTTTTGTTTGTTTGTTTGTTTGTTTTTGTTTTTTGTTGCTCAACAACTTTGGTTTTCCCCTTTTTTTTCTCAAAAGAATTTTTTCCCTGTTGGTTTTTTTTGGGGGGGGGGGTCAGTATTTTTCGTTAAACCATCTGGCAACCCTACGTTTGATTCAAACATTTCTTAGTCTGTTTAAATTAGAATTAGCTTGCAAATTTAGTTTTGTTTCTTAGGTAACCAGTTTCGATCGCTCTGCCTGCTATTTCTAATCAGTTAAAACCCATCTTTCTGCAGTTAATAAATCTGTTCTATATTTTACTTAAAACCATGTGTTTTGGTTGAAGTGCTTGCGAAATCTCAGCTCACGTTAACAGGCACTGATGCATGTCCACTGTCCTTTCTTTAGAGCGGTGAAGTAGTTTAGGGGCCTCCACTGGCTTGGCTTCTGACCAGGGCACAGTGGTAAAGTTCTGAGGTGTAGGGCTGAGACTGGCTGAATTGGCTGGAGCTTCTCTATTCTGTTAATGTGTGACTGGGAAATTATATACCTCAGTTGGCTGCATCCTGGCCTGTCCATGGCTGGGTAAGTGCAGGGCCTGGCAGTGGATTGTAGCTTAGGCCGTGTCCAGACTCAGGGGTTTTTTCGGGAAAAGTAGCCTTTTCCCGAAAAAACTTCCCCTGCGTCCAGACTCAAGCCGCGTTCTTTCGAAATTATTTCGAAAGAACGCGGCTTTTCTTTCGATGGCGGTAAACCTCATTTCACGAGGAAGAACGCCTTCTTTCGAAAGTTCCTCTTTCGAAAGAAGGCGTTCTCTTAGGCCGTGTCCAGACTCAGGGGTTTTTTCGGGAAAAGTAGCCTTTTCCCGAAAAAACTTCCCCTGCGTCCAGACTCAAGCCGCGTTCTTTCGAAATTATTTCGAAAGAACGCGGCTTTTCTTTCGATGGCGGTAAACCTCATTTCACGAGGAAGAACGCCTTCTTTCGAAAGTTCCTCTTTCGAAAGAAGGCGTTCTTCAATGTAAAGAGGCCGTCTTCAAAAGAGAGCATCCAGACTCGCTGGGTGCTCTCTTACTTAGGCTATGTCTAGACTGCAGGCTTCTTTCGAAAGAGGCTCTTTCGAAAGCATCTTTCGAAAGAGCCTCTTTCGAAAGAAGCCTGCAGTCTAGACATAGCCTATATGACAGCATCACAATGTGAAACTCAGCTGAGGCTGGGGGAGAAACGGGAGGAGGGTTGGCTCACTGGTCCCACAGTCCAGGTTACACCTCTGGGAAGCTGTCACTAAAACCCTGCTTCCAATGAAGTCAATGGCAAAACTGTCACCACATTGAGAGTAAGACTGGCCCCTAAGTGGCTTGATCAAAGTCAGTGCACAGAACTCAGACACCCAGACTTGTGCCTGAACCCCAAGACCACCTAATTTTAAGAGGAATAAGGGATCTTCCGGAAAAGGCTTTATTTTCTGAAAGATCCCGTCTAGACTGGCGCTTTTCTCCAGCAAAGCCCCGAGCCGGAAAAAAGCGGCAGCCGTGTTCATGCAAATGCCGTGGGGGATATTTAAATCCCCCGCGGCATTTGCAATTCTGACTTGTCTCATTAGCATCCCTTTTCCGGAAAAGGGTGCCAATGTAGACACAGCCACCCAGTGTGGGCTTTGAGATACTGACAAGAAAGGCTCTTCCTATAAGCATAGTTATTAGCAGCTTCATAGTTCACTTTTACTTTAGTCAGTTTCACCTGAGGGGCCTCTCACGGCTAACACAGTACTGTACTGTTTAGGGCTGCAAAAATCTCAGGAGCATGTTTACCTCTACCCCCACCTTCCCATATTCTCAAACATTAGAATTTTCAGAAATCCAGGAATACATTTCTACTGATCTTGTTGTCAGAAAACTAAATGGTATCTGCAAGTCAACCATGCATTGCCCCTTAATGGTCTTAAAAATCAAATAATAAATTTCAATGGAAAAGGAAATGTATTCCAACCATTTGGGGTCACAACCACCAACGCTGGCCTCCCCTTAGATGGAACGGTCAACAGGAAAGCAGTGGACAGCCTCCTCCCTTTGCGATGGCTTCATGCAAAGTTATAACTTAACATTCCACCTTGGCGCTCTCTCCATAGAATGGGAGAACACACGGAATTGTCAGGGGCTTCTGATGGAAGCGGAACGTCGCCATCCGCTGGTTCATTATAGCGGCATTAGTAAAAAGTCAATTTTCAGGTGAACTTATTAAGATTGACTCTTACTGTAAAAATGCCTTAGGCTTGATAATTAAATTTTAAGGAAAGTTATTCAGTTGAAGTAAATGGGTAATGGTTTTAGATACAGCTTTATAATGTAAAAATGAGAGACTGTGTGATTACCTGTTTGCAGTCATAAATACAGTCTGACGATATGCACACAGTCTCTCTCTCTCACACACACAGTCTTATATTCTCTTACACACAGCCTCACCCTCAGGCACACACACATTCAGGTATGTACATCCACTCAGACAGTCTCAGGCACAGGCTCGCACCTTATCAGGCAGACACACGTGCACGCTCAGACACGGTTCACTTAGGGGAAAAAAAGAGCTAGAACAAGTGTTGTTCAAGCGTAAGAGTGACTGACACCATATATCCATCAGAGGGAGAAGCAATCTGCATAAGGAAAGGCTACACAGTGTGTTTGGGCTCTGTATCCATGTGGGGCACGTGCATGAGCACACACGCACACACAGAGCTGCTTTTATTTTGACATTTGCTGAACACCCAGAAACCTGCCTGAACAGCTGCTTTGCCCAGTGAAAAATGGGAAGTGACATGCAGAGTGGAATGGCGCTGGGAGCAAAGTCAGATTCATTTTGGGCCAGTCATTGGTAATTTGCTTGAGACTTCCATTTTATTACAACAAGACAGACCACTCCTGCCAGGAACAAAGCAAGAAAAGGCTTTTTATAGAACATTAATCCCCGCTGTAACAGAACAGGGCAGACAATTGGCCGGTTGTCTTTCCAGCACCCACCTGAAGGTGGCAGCAGTAACATTTCATATAGTTCAGGGATTAGTGTCTTAACCCCAAGTGTGAAAGATGGAGGCAATGAGTGGGGGCGGGGAGGGAGGATTAGGGACCTCCTGGATCTTTAAAAAAAGTTTCTCCGAGGTCATATATATATATAAATGCCCTTGAATCCCAGCCTGTAGTGCTGTCCATCTCACCAATCCCCCCCACCCCTCAGTGTTCCAGAACTAGGTCCTCACCCAGCTCTGAGGTGCACCTCAATCCTGCCTGAAGCACCACCTGTAGTTCCATTTCTCCAGCCACCAACCACCTTACCTCTAATGTATCCCCATCCAGACCCACAGCACTGTCTGTCCCAGTCCTGGGCTCCCCACACACAGCTCAGTCACTGCCCTTTGCTCCTGGCCTGCCACAACCTCTGCTATTCTGATCTCAGAGACCACTGAGTGTGTCAATCTTGACTATATGATGGTTTAGCAAGCAGGAAAAATGCCCACTAGGAAGCAGGATGAATCCACTGCGCTGCCTTTGTCCTAAAATAGGATTTAAATCCGGGTCACCATGGTCTGTGGATTAAACCTTCTACTATCCCTTTAAGGGTCTATTTTGCGGTGACCTCACTTGGCCCAAAATGTCAGCAACACCCTTCAACAAAGCCCTTGCCAACTTCTAGGGAGTAACTGAATCCGCCTCCTCTGTGGCAGGGTCAGCCACGAGCGCTGCCCACAGAACCAGCTTCTACTTCAGGCCATGCACATGTTTATGAGGGTATGTCTACACTAGCTCGTTAGTTCGAGCTAGGTAGGCAAATGAGGGCAACCGGAGTTGCAAATGAAGCTGGGATTTAAATACCCCGGGCTTCATTTGCATGTTCCTGGGTGCCGCCATTTTTAAATCCCCCTTAGTCCGAACTCAGTGCCCGCGGCTACACGCGACACGGAGTAGGTAGTTCGAATTAGAGATCCTAATTCAAACTACTGGTACTCCTCGTTCCACGTTCCTCATTCCAGTAATTTGAATTAGGATCTCTAATTCGAACTACCTACTCCGTGTCGCGTGTAGCCGCGGGCACTGAGTTCGGACTAAGGGGGATTTAAAAATGGCGGCACCCAGGAACATGCAAATGAAGCCCGGGGTATTTAAATCCCAGCTTCATTTGCAACTCCGGTTGCCCTCATTTGCCTACCTAGCTGGAACTAACGAGCTAGTGTAGACATACTCAGAGAGAATTACGAATGAGACATTAGCAGAGGTGAAGTTTGGCTTTCACGTTACAGACAAACCATGCTCCTGTCGCTCTCTTGTAATGAAACTCCTCCAGCACTGCTGCAGATGCCACCCACACTCATCTAGCACAGCGACGCTGAGCATGAGCAACGGTCCCCAGCACCACAAGGGAAATGCAGTCCTGACTGCCATCCTGCTTGCTTTCACTCTGCCGTGACACGTCAAGGGCCTCGTTGGAGACAGACACTGTTGCTCTTAAGTTGAAATTCAGGGAGGAGTTGGTTGGGGGAGGGAATGTGCGGGAAGGAAAGTGTTAAAAAGGCCCTTCCCAAGGTGAAAAGCAGCTTTCGCGGAAGACCCTGTAAGGGGCAGGTCAGATCTGAGTCTTCATAATATATAAGTGTCATTTTTATTACATCAATATTTATGAGATGAATTTTAGTGCCACTTTCAGCCAGAGATGGGGCCCCATTGGGGTGGGCATTACACAAGAGTACAAAAGACAGCCTGCCCCTGACAGCTCATAGGCTAAGAACTTGACCTGGAACTATGCCCCCACCAAGCCATTGGGGCTTCACAGTGGAAGGTGAGCTGTATCCACATGGAACTGCCTAGGTTTGTAAGAAGAGGCAAGGCAGATTTGTGATATGATGCAGAAGGAGGATAAAAGAGACAAGGGGCAGGGAGACAGCAAAACAAGCCCATTTGTACATACTATGATGACCTTAAACAAGGCATTTCACCCTTGTATATGCCAGTTCTCCAAATATATGTTCAGCTATTTCAGAATACAATATACAAATAGCTGTTTCCATAATGAAAAACAGTATTGACTAGGGTACACACATTCCTGATCATAGTAACAATAATGATCCTTCTAAAGACCCATAAACACTTATCTTCCAACCAACTACTTAAAATCCACATGTGATGTCCCCAAGAGGGGCATAAGAGTTATTATCCCCATTTTACAGAGGAGCAAGTTCAGGCACAGTGAGGTGAAGACTTGCCCCAGGTCACAGGAGTCAATGGTAGAGCTCGGGAGTTCCTATCCCTGATCCTGCACCAGATCCTGCCATCTTTTATTTGAATGACAAGGTGCTGTGGAGGGCAGGGCAAGGGGAGAGGTGTTTCTAGTGGAAGGATATCACTGTCTGCTATGAAATCAGCAGAATTTAAACCTATTAAATCCATTTATTAAAGCTTAATTAGCATGAAATTAAATTCAACCCTTATTCAAAGAGCCCTAAATCATCAGTACTGGGCATTTTAACATGAGCTTAATTGAAAAATCTGTTGGAGCAGCGCCCGTCTATTCCCCTTGCGTCACTCAGCATTTGCCTCTTATCTATTGCAACAGCGACCCAGTGGTTGAACTAGCTTAATTTGCACACACACACTGGCCAGTTTCTCGCATCCTCTCTCTGCGACACACCCACCATCTGCTGGGCTTGACTCACTATTGCACACAATCGGTCATGCTCATGTCGACAGCAGAGGTTTATGGGGGATGAATTAGGTCAAGTGGGATCACCAATGGAGCCGGAGAGAGTGAGAGAAAAGTGCATGCTCAAGAAAGACCAGAGAGAATGTGGCAGGTGTGCCAATGAAAATTGGTCCCTAGAGAGGTTTATCACCAGCCCATCCCAACACCCATCCACCTCTGGCCATAAGAGGATCTGCTCGGGGTTAAAAGGGAGGGACAGTGGATTTTGCCAAGACTGGTGAGACAGTTACCTGAGACACTTACCTCTTTGATCCTCTGCAGAAGAGGCAGCAGCCAGTCTTTATTCACCTCACAGTGGCTGTCTAGGAAGGTCAGAACTGCTGCCTGTGCCACATCTGCCCCTCGGATTCGGGACCGGATCAAACCTGTTCAGATACAGACAAGCTCAGGTGCAGCACAGATTGTGTGTGTCTCTCTGTGCAGGGGGACTAGTGGCAGAAGCATGTAGAATAGTGATAGAAATGTAGCCGTGTTAGTTTCTATCACTATTCTACATGCAAGGCACTACATTTAGCCGTTTGGAATGGAAATCCATCAACCATATGAAGAAACTCGCACAGATACAGACAGACATCATCTTTCTATACCCCAGACTAGTGGCAGAAGCACATTCTACACACACACTGAGGCCCCTTGAACCCTTCCATTCTCCATCCACATGCATACCCGGGTTCTGGGGGGAGCGAGCCCCCTCCCCCATTTTCCAAGGACAAAGTAAATAACGGGCCTCTTTAGATTAACGATTTATGGCATTTATACCAATTCTTAATTTATGCAATTACTTCTGCTGCCACTTTGCTGGGGGGAAAACAAAACGTAAAGTGCTTCACTGTCCCCTGCAGGTACAATAGTTTAATGTGAACTTAATGCAGCTTGGAATGTGACTGTAACAGCAGTGAGAACGGAGAGGGGAATTTGAACAACTATTCTACCGCCCCACCACTCTCTACCCATCCTCCCCCACACCTCTCCTTAATAAGTCTCTGGTTCTGTCCTGTCCATTCACTGGTTCCACCAACAAAGTCCCCACTGAAGTCCATGGGGATGAGGATGGAGAGCAATTCGAGCATCTCTCGCTCTCTAATCCCTAAAATTCATTCTGACTTCCTGCTACTGGGCTCATCTACCGGACCTGCTGATGTCTTGTCTCTGTGGCATCGAAGATCAGTGGCTGAGACAGCTGAGCAGCAATATATCTTCTATCAAGGAGGGGGAAATCTCAGGCACTGCTCCCAACGGGCAAGCCTGCTGTGTCCTTATAACACATTTAACCCACCTGGGTGTTAGCAGATACAGGAGGTGGATATTTGTGCATGTGAGAAAGAGAGCGAGCGAATGTATCTAACTGTGATGCAGCAATCCATGGGGCACTGCTCACACAGATTTAGGGCTGGATTGTTTGGTTAATGTTTGATCTCTGAAGAAGGACATGAAACCCTCCTTCCATTAGCTGCCTCGCTCCAGTATCTCTGTGTATGTGGTATCTACCATCTGTACTACAGGGAAATGGCTCCTCCCCGCTCATTCCTTCAGCATACATGCAGCCTTCACTAGCAGCAGCATTAACTAAATGTAAAGACCCTCCACAACTGAAAGGACCTGTCTCTTGACCAAGTGTAGCTGAGAGGGCTAAGTGGAGACACAAGAATGGAGGCAGTGCTGGAAAAGTGGTAGGGCTGGTGGAGTGAGGGGAGACAACAAGGAATTGATGGATGCTGGGGAAGAGATGAAAGGCAAAGGCAAGAAGCAGCATCTCAGGCACAGGCAGAAGGAACCCCTTGATCCTTATGTTGCAATAACCAGGAGGAAAGGGACTGAGACACCCCCAAGAGTTAGAGCAAGAGCGAGAGACAGGGTGGGGCACCTGGGCAATGCGAGGGACTATAGAGTTTGCTGGGATAGCCTTGTGGACTGGAGACTCACCTTAGACAGCATTCTGCAACTTCTATGACAACTGCAGGTTCTGTCTTCTGATTTGGGGCCTACCATCTCCACCACACCCCTGCCCCAACTGCTTACAGGCAGGGGGCAAAGAGCCTCGATGGAGTATAACTCTGTGGTGTACAAGGGGATGTGACCCCTCTGGGCTGTGTTCCCAAATTCCTGACTCCTTACACGCTAACATCTGGAGCAGAACCGCCATGTTTCCATGGGATCAAGGACCTCTGATGCCATCGAGGAGCGTGTGTGTATGGGGGGGGAGGGAGCGCATGTGGTGGGGTGTCACAGTGTGGCTGGAAGAGAGACAGACAGAAATGCAGATAGAGCTAGAGAAAGAGGATAAGACAGCAATCTCACTTACATGAGTCCAGGCAGAGAACTCCTTTTGACGACAGTGGGGCTAGCTCAGATTGACACCAGCCTAACAGAGCAAATCCATCCCTGAGGGAGAATATTCAGATAAACCCGCTTTGCTCCTCATCCTCTCTATCCCCCTCCCGCCCCCC